AATTCGAAATTGATGTGTGTATGCTTCAACATAGCATCCCACGTAAAACCCGGTAGAGTATAATAATACGCCGGATCGAGTCCATAACTCGCGACGCAACTATCGCGAAAATTTTCAAAGATATCGGCCAACAGCAAGACATCGGTCTTGAGATATAAATCGCTGTAATCACCGAGCGTTCGAATGGAGAACCGCTGCCAGACGTCGACGGCGTGCGCGTAATCGCTCTCGGATACGGTGTCACCTGTCAATGAACTGTAAAACGAGTCGCGCGGTGGTAAACACAAGTCCTCCAATTTTTCGACGCAGTCAATGTATTCATATGGAAATACGCCTTTTCGTGTCAGCAAATTAAAATTTTCTGCGGATAATTCACAAAATTCGCGTTGCAATATTCGCAGTTTATTCTTGCTGAGATAAGATGCCAATTTGTCAAGACTAGCGGTGAGAAACTTGTACGAATCGATAAATCGCAATTTGACGCACGTTTTCTTATCTTTATCTTCGGTGCTTTGAACGTTTTTTGTAAACGAAATATATTTTTCTTTTGTGATCGGGAGTAAATCTACATGTCCTTCGTATGCTGTTGCTATTTCAGTTATAATAAAATGTGCATCGTATCCCGATAAATTATGAAACACTATGGGAATGCAATGCGAATCTTTATAATTTAAGTTACAATTCGAATGCGCGGGACCTCTGTATCGACCGGTCAGGTGACAATGGTCGCGTACTCGCACGTCGTCTGGCTCGAACGGTTCTTTACACACGTGACAGTGCGTTGCGCTGTTAAACTTTTCCCACTCGTCTCGCGTGAAATCTGCCATGGGTATATTAGTGGACAATATAGTTTTTACGTCGTGAGCTAAACGTCTTAGCTCCTCGGCGAACCACGCGACGCAATCCTTATCGCGACGAAACCGATACATAGATAACGACTCGTCGTACGAGCAACGCACGTAGTACCCTATGCTAAACACGCAATGATGTTGATATGTGTACCTGGACGTTTCCGGATCCACTTCCATCTTCTCCAGGGTACATTCCAGGTCGGCGTATACGACAAACGGAACTTGTTCCTTCCTGTTGTGATTTTTAAAGGCCAACCACTTGTCGTTATCGCTCGGTAACTTGATCGCGCAGTCATTCATCTCCTGACAGTCGACGGTGTGGGCAGCCAATTTCTCGTTGGAGCTGAAGTAGTGCAAACATCTGCAAAAAAATAAACGCAAATATTATAAATTTTTTATACACAAAATATTCTATATATTATTAAAAGAACTATAGGTACTTACCGATCGCAAAAGTATTTCTGACCATGGTGTCGGTTGATTTGCGAGCTCACGAGGCGGGATAGGTTCTTGATCCACGCAAAATGTCCCACGTTGTCGTTATGCACGTACAGCAGATTTACGTGTCTGTCCATCTTTCGGTTAGTAACCCGTATTGGCAAGATAGCAAGTTTCTTGTTTTTTTTCTCGATGCTGTACACGTTGATGGAGATGTTGTTATGATTTTCAAATTTTTTAATTTGATCCAACGTCATTGGAAACTCAATGTCCGTAAGATCTAGCACCGACGTGTATGTGGATACGACGATTCCAGATCTGCATTTCTTTGGGCTGGATGTAGAGCAGCCGTCACTGACCATGCGAAACATGCATTGTCCATTGATCGCACGTTTATCACCGCCTTCTTCTTTTTAATTTCTTGCGGTATTTCCACAAAACACCCCGCGTGCAACGGATTGTATTTGTTCACGTTTACCATTAAATTGAGTATACGCGACAACGCCCATCCGCTATCACGTTCCTGGAATTCCTCCAGCTTTGCTAAGGTAGGCTCGATGACGTGTTGCTTGTACCACTCGTGCAGATCGGACTCACGAAAGACTTCATAGTTTCTCGTAGCGATACTTTTATTCGCGCGTTTGTCACCCGCAACAAATTCACCATTAAACATTGTGTTAATTTTTAGATTGTCATGTCGTTGCATGACGTTCCGCACACGATCGAGTACAATTTCTCTCGCATCTTCGAGAAATTGACGAGGGTCGATGTGTTTGGAATTTATCACCGCACCAGTCAATATACGGCTTTCAAAAGCCGGATCTATCTCGCGCCATTTGAGTCTTGTCTCACTCGCACTGTATCCTGCTCCCACATGCACGAAACGTTGACGTACCAAGTCTTTCAAACCTTCGAGTCTTGCGATACAAGCGACCAATGACTGTTTGAGACCGATCGATAATCGCGGCCGTTTAATTCGGTTTTGTTCTTCCAACGATTCGATAAACTCGTCGCATCGTTGCTCCCACGCGGTAAATTCTTCCCTCGAATTTAACAGGGTGGATTGCTCCAACAACTCTTGCTCCATGTTATTGCACGATCCTCTTGCTAACGCCATTTGTTGCACTCACGACTTCCAGTTCTCGACTATTGAGCGTATCCCCTAGATTCGTCATTTTATATTCTACTAATGATGCATCGTTTGCTTATCATATCTAATTTCATCTCAGCAGCCGTACATCGGCGCTATTTGCAAAATTTGCAGTTTTGCACGTGTTCGATGAAATCATTGCGAGA